GAGCCCAAAACCACTAGGCAAACATTCTCTTTCCGTCTGTGTCCATCGTTCATCAAGGTTCGGGTAGCTGTCTTGGTTCCTTCGAGAGTCGTCAACCACTAGGTTGTGGTCTTCTGTCTATCCTTTTAAGTTGTTTGTCGAGGCTCAATGACTTGTCCCTAGTCTTCTAAAAACCCATCAACCACTAAGCCAATGTCATTCGTGCATCCCTTGTCCGTCATCCACCGAGGCTCCGTCACTCGTCCTCAATGCTCCAAAAGTCTGTCAACCACTAAGTTGACGTCCTCTGTCTGTCATCTGTTGGGACTCCTGCAACCGTCCTTGATCTTCTAAAAGCCCATCAACCATCGGGCCAAGGTCCTTTGCCTTTTCCTTGTTCGTCACCTATCGAGGCTCCGGTACCCATCTCGAGTTTTTCCAGAGTAAGTCAATCACTAGGCTGACGTCCTTTATCTATCCCATGTTCATTGTCCATCAAGGCTCCCACAATCATCCCCAATCCTCCAAGAACTTGTCAACCATCGAGTTGAGGTCCTTTATCCATCCTTTGTTTGTTGTCCATCAAAGCTACATCACGCATCCTTGATTCTCGGAGAGCCCATCAACCATCAGGCTAAGGTCTTTTTTTCATAGCTTGTCCGCCATCTGTCAAGGCTTTGACACTTGTCCCTAATCCTCTGAGAGCCTTTTAACCACCAAGCCGAGGTACTATATGGCGCTAATATGACATATTAACATATCATAATAAATAATAATTAATAGTTAATTTAGTCAAAATATGTAACATATTGACATGTCATAATAATATGTTGTTTTAGCATGATAACATAACAATATGATACTTTTTAATCCAAAATGACAAGTGACATAAAATGATATTTTGATTAATGATAATAGCCTACTTTAAATTCAAATAGGTGCATATGTTGAGTGGCTTATGGTGTGTGCTATAACTGATTTTTATTAATTACAATTTGGTATTGAGCGTTTCTATAGTATCTTGAGTAACTCTCATTCATGTAATATAAAATCAGTGTTGGCAGTTAAGTTATATATATATGTAAATCTTGCTATGTGCTACTAATTAAGAAATGTGTTGCATTATTGTTCATATGCTATTTGATTCTCCAAATTGATTGTTTTGCTTGGATGGATGGTGGGTGTTAAACGGTCATGGTCAGGTTTTTATGTAGCAAAATTAGCATATACTATTAGTTCCCCTAACTTGTAGCTATATGGTACCAATTGGCTCGTCCGTGAGAGAGAGGAGGTATCAATTAGCATATAGCATACGGTATTATTAACACACAGCAAATAGATGACGAGATAATAACTAATAAGGAGTGTAGGATGTGGAATTGGGAACTCCTCAGAACGTAACCCGTTGAACCAGGCAGCAAATGGCTGAACCGCCAACCAAACTCCATCCCGCCGAAAACTCTTTTATGAATTATTTTTTATATTTTTTTATAATTCTTTAACAATTTTTAATAATATTTTAAAATTTTTAATATATATATATAGCGCATTAGGTAAAAATAGGCTATCTTTAAAATTTTAAAGCATTTAATATTTTTTAAAAGAAAATAAATATAATAATAATAATAATAAATAATATATTTACGTATATGCATAAGGAACAAATTTTATTTTTTTTATATTGTACAGTTATATGGTAGTATTAGATAAAATACTTATTTATATTAACTAACAATAGTATAATAAATAAACTAAATGAAAATTGTAATAAAATAAAAATTCAATGAAATAATTACTAAATGTATATATATTGAAATCAAAATAAATATATTAATTAAAACACTACTTGTTATTTGTATTTACGTGAAATTGACATAAAATATAAAAAATATCACATGATGATGTCAATATATCACACTAATAACATGTGATATAAAATAATAAAAGATTTTTTAATTAAGTTAATTATTATTGACAAGTTTATATTTGTTATTAAATTGTGAGAGAGAATTTGAATCTTATTTTTTAAATAAAAAAATTATATACCAATTAATGAACTAAATAGACGAAATGAAAAAAAATCAAAACCTATAAGTAGGTAAGGAAATGCTTAATCTGTTTGGAAAAGCTTTCAAATGGTTGGCGTGAACTCCAGAGCAGGATAACCACATTGTGGTAGGTGCTTCTACTGGCTGATGGCGGTGTATCCAGTGAATGGCCAGTTTCTTTGGATAAAAGTTCCGATTAACATTATTCCGTGTACTGGCAGAACTCTTCTGACTAAATTATAACTAATGATTACATATTTGACAAAGCGAAAAGGTTGTTGATAAGTAAGAAATCCATCTCTTATTCTGATGGATATATCATTAACCAGACGGAGATAGCCCAGAAAAGATTAACACATGATGCAAAACAATGTTTTAGCTTAAAAAGAATATCAAGCTCAAAATTGAGTAAATAACAAAGAAAACAGACAAAAATTTGCAATGGCTTTTAAGTTCAACATGTTCGTAGTAGTTCTTAAACTCCATAAATATGTTCTAATCTAGTATGTGAAAATATATAATCATGATACATGGTATATGAAAATCTTACTGATAGAGCACATAAGTCTTTTTTTAAAAAAAAAAAAATTAATGATCTCAACAATCAATGTGTCATTCCAAGTCTTTTACTTGCTTAATAAGAGATTTTTCATTACATAATAATTTGATTTGAACACGAGGAACCTAAATAATTAGCAACTGACGATTAAGCTCAAACAGTTCCCTAACTCTGTCAGAAAAATAATTTGCAGCTCACTGCCCCTAGAACAAAAACTGGGCATTGACTTGGCACTAAAATCCCTTTGAAAATTTACATGGTTCAGTTTGTTGTTTGGGATGTCAGAAAATTATTGCATGGGCATGAAGCACAATATTAAAGCCCTTGTTCATATCAACACAGAGAATGCATGCTTTTGAGCACTTGGTAATTTCAAACTAAGCTATGGACTAGATAATCTGAAAATGGTAACATTCAAAGGCCTGTCAAATTGCTTTTTTATAGCAAATTTTTGGTGGAAACAAGTTCCAGGATCAGCTAAGTGTTCTGATCTTATGAACATAGAATTATCTTGAGTGCTTCAACATGAAGCTTGCTTTGCTAGAGTAATACAAAATGACTGTTGACTGTTAAGTATAAGTATATATATATATATATATATATATAGAACTTGCTATTTATTTCTTTTGACATTGTTATGTCCTACTAGTTCATATATGTGTTGTATTTTTTTGGGTTCAGGTTTAGTTCCCCGGACTTGTAGCCAGTTATATGGTACCAATTGTCTCGTCCGTGACACATAGGAGGAGGCGTGAATGATAGAAACTAGTAAGGAGAAGAAAACAAAGGCAGGCCTATTTTGTTGGATGTGGAATTGGAAACTCCTTAGAACCTAATCGGTTGAACCGGGTAGCAAACAACCTCACGCAACACAATGGATCATTCACCGCCAACCAAACTCCATCCCACGGGTACTGCTTTATCTTATCCTTTGTTAGACCACAAAGGGGTTTTGGTTTCCATAGATTGAGGGCTCCGTTCATTTTGCTTTCTTTTTAATTTTTTAATAATTTTTTTTTTCACTTTTCAAACCCAAGTTACAACTGTACTGTAAAAGCCAGATTCCTGCGTCAACTGGCGATTGGGCACCAGGCAGATTGGAAACGGCCATTTTTGTCTTTATACGCACACTGCACGTTGAACCGGTGGTGATTAACCAGTAGGATTTTTCTGGTATGAGGTAGACAGAAAGCACAATGGCGAGGAGGGCCCCGCATTTGGTTAACGACTAGTCCGGATTTCCGGAGGGTAATTAAGATTTAATCAAAAAATTATTTTATATATATATCTCATCTTTCAAATAAACGAGTCGATTGTCCAATGGTTTCAATTAAAATTCTTAAATTTAGATTACTGAACAAATTAATTAATTAAACTAATACATAAGCGAATCGAATTAGAATGTATCCCTAATTCTTGAATCTTAACTTTACTATGTGTGTTGCACTCGGATAAAAAAAATAATTCAATAAAATATCGAGATTAATAACAATGGTGATTTTGAAATTGATAATTTATTGAGAATTGCTGAGTTTGAAACTAATAATTGGACAAAATTTATTTGATAAAGATAGTGATAGTTGTGTGTATAAAGTATTAGGTAAAACTTGAATATTTTTATAATTTTAAAAATATTTAATATTTGAAATTTAAAAAAATTTGAATGAAGTAATAATAATAATATATTTACATATATATATCTAAAGAATAAAAATTATTTTTTTGTATTTTACAATTATATTGTAGGATTAGATAAAATAACAATTAATGTTAACTAATAATATTATATTAAATAAGCTAAATGAAAATTGTAATAAAAATAAAAAATTTCATGAAATAATTACTAAATGTGTATATATATATATATATATATATTGAAACCAAAATAAATGTACTAGTTAATAACACATTTCACATGGTTATAAGTAACAAATTATATTTTTTAAATATATTAAAATAGTAATTATTCACTAATTATGAATGCATTAATTTATTTTATTTCCTTAATTAACAACGAATATATTTATTTATATATTACTTATCAAATTTATTATATGTGGTAACACGGTGAATTGACGATGATGATGATCGCGTATGCTTTGGTATGTATGACTGGTAGTTAGGGAGGCTGTGTTGACAATCCAGCCTTCGCCCTCCTTCCTAGGTTACGTTGGTCCCGCATGTATCTGAATTTTAGGATCAACTGTCAAGAGTTCAGAAACGCAGAGCCGAAGCGCCGAACGACGAGCTTTGGCTCCATTACCAATATTTCTACCGCCTCGCCTATTCTGGAACGACATTTGCAACTTCAATTTTGATATTTTTGACGGCGTCAATTGAATCCGTTTACAAAATGAACACGTGGATGCCATATGGTAACCTATATAAGGTGAGCTGGCTACTTCTTTCTCTTTCCAACTGTTTCTTCCCTTCTGCTCCTCCGTGATTCACAGCCTCAACCTCGGCGGCGGATCCTCTTTCCCGCCACGCTCTGTTCACAGCCAAAATATTCTCCGAGAATCACTTTCCTTTTGTTTAATTTTTCCTCACGCATACACACCGCAATCTTGGATTTTTAGTTTGGTTTGGTTGAATTTTTATGTGAATTTTTTATTACGACGTTTGGATTTTTGTGAATTTTGGATGAATTTGGTTACGGATTGAAATTTATCTTGAATTTTGTGTGCATTTGATTGTGGACTGAATTTTTTCCATGTGCAGATTCTAGGTGGTTGATGAGTAACTGTGTGGCGGGAGTCGGGAGTCGAAGGAGAGAGAGAGAAGGGAACCTAGAAAAATTTCACGTACACGTGGCATACAACATTGGCCACCCAAGTTCTTCGGATTTAACTGAGACTTGACAGTTGGGGTGGGATTGAACAGTTTTTATAGTTTTAAGACTAATTTCTACAATTTAATATAGTTCGGTACTAAATTTGTAATTAACTCTTTCTTTTTCCAACTTTGTTTTGTTTTTCTCTCATCCTTCAGTTGTCTCTTTACGTGATTTGAATGGAATTTTTAATAATATTAAATTCAGACAAAGGAAAAGTTTCTGTCTTGGGTTTCCTACGGGTTTCCTGCACGCCAGGCCTTGTACTTCAACTGTGAGCATCTCTACCTCTCTTCTCTCTTGCTTTCAATCTTTGTTTGCTTGCTTCCCTCTATATAATTGCTCTTGTATGTTACAACTTAGACCTCGACTCCTTTCTTTCTTCTCCTTTGCTTCGGCGGGTGAAGGTACTACTGATTCTATGTATTCTCCTCCCTCTCTGCAAACGATGTTTGTCATGTTCTATCTGATTAGTATTGCGTTTAATTTCATGTGTCTATATAATAGTCTTGGTTTCCGCAAGTCTTCCTTCTTGTTGTTCTCTTCTTCTTTATATGTTGCTTTTTGGATCAACAGTCTTATGTTGTCACCGTAATTGATTCATGGTTCTTTATGTGACTTGTAAGATGAATGGCAAAACAGAAGCTTAAGGGGAAAGGTTTGATTGCTGTTGTTCTTAGAATTGTTTGGAGTGCTATACTTTATGTGGCTCGATTGAAACAATAGGATTCATGGTAAAAAGGTTAGAAGTGATACTGCCATTCTGAGTTGCATTTAGGAGGTGGTTCATAGCAGGCTTCATGATATAGAGAATATAGCAGGGGATATGATTAACAGAACCTGTCAAAACTGGGATTTAGAAGGTCATGTGTTTGCCTAGTTATTTGCCAGTTTGTTTCATTTGTAGCATGCTTGCCTCCATCTTTGGATGAATTAAATCTCTTTTTCTGCAAAAAAAAAAAAGAAAAACCAAACCTTGATGGCAGGGGTTGGGATCATGAATTACAGCTCAATGATTACAGGATTAAGTTTAGCAACACTTCACTCTTTAGATACCGAAAATAATAGTAATAAAAAAAACCCCTATTTCATTGTTCTGTTTGATTTGGTAGAAGACAATGGAAAATGAAGTGATTATTAATGTCCTAAAGACTAAATTCTTCAATCAACTCCTGTTTGTCCTGCATTAGTTATAAGTAACTGTATGTAATTTAGAAATTCCACATCATAGAGCTTGCAGCTTTTTGTCAATGCACTGGATGCTAAACAAGAAGATCTTGTGATCTCATTGAGTTTAGTAATACTAAAGTTTAATGAATTGTATTTATTTTAGCAAAAAAACAATTCAAAATTTTTCTTGTGAATATTCTCGCTTTGCCTTTTTCTTGACTCTCCTTTGCTTCTTCATATAAATACTGTGGTTCTGTTTTTTAGTTTAATAGTTACTCTCAACCATGAATGCTCTCCTTGTAGGTTTGGATTGATCAGAAACTGCAATTCTTTACACAGTTGAAAGAGGTCTTTACACAGTTGAAAGAGGTTTACATCACCTCCTTGACTGTAATGAGTAACAGTATTGAAGATGATTCATTCTCTAAGCGTGTTGGAAGATGGTCTGTTTTCTATTATGGTGTGGGTCACATGCTAAATGACATCACGTCTGCATGCTGGTTTACTTATCTCTTACTGTTCTTAACAGACATTGGGCTCTCCCAAAGGTATATATCTTAGTACTCTGTCTGAAATTCATGCTTCAGGATAGATTTGCAATATATTTTTCCTCCTTTTCTAATTGTGACTCTTAACTTGTGTGTTTATCCTAATAGCTTTAAATAAAAATGGGTCCTGTAAATGCATATTTTTTAACCTATCTCATGTTGAGTTTGGTATTAGTAAAAGTTAATCTAGTAATATAGATATGATCCCACCCTTTCATTTGTTTTCACAAAGTGAGATTTTTTGCCGATTGTTTCACATTTGTATAAGTCTCAAAGGAATTTAGGTGCTATTTATGCCCCTGTTCTCATTCTTTCATTAAAATCCAGTCAGAAAACTCATACCATTTGGAGGAAAAAAAGGGTATAAGCTCTTAAAACTCCAATTGGCAACAGTAGGTGTATCCATGTCGATGCAGAATCAAGATCGCAAGCATGTTAAATCTGTCATGTTTACAAATATACACATTTTGTTAGGAATGAAGTCTAGGACTCGGGTTTCTCTGCAGTAGAAGATAGAAATCACGTTTTAGAATTAGGGAAGGATTGTGTTTGACCCCATTGACATGAATTTTATGATGATTGAAGTGGTTTATATACAACAATGATAGAGATGTTAACCAGAAGTAGAATGACTTAGAATTCTTTGGTCTTATGTTGGAATAGTAGAAGCCCTTATGCTGTTAAAACTGCCACCATGAATAGGGATGGCAGTTGGGTGGGAGAGGTGGGGTCCCCACCCCCATCCCGTAATTGTGACCCAATATCTTAATACCTTACCTCGAACCTTCTCTGCTGCAATCTCGGGTTGTCACTTGCAATACTCATCTTGGCCATGTGAGAAAAATTTATGTCTTGCATTCTACCATTTTACTCTGAACTTACTATTGTTGTTTATTTCATTAAAAGATGTTTCATTTTAATATAGATTGCATTTTAAATATTTTATTATATAAATAGTCTCTCGTATAGTATCCATGTACAAAATTATTGATGTAATACATTTACATGATGTAAATTAAAAAAATTAAAAAATTCAATAAATTTTTATTTATATCCTGATACGGGGGTAGAGCAGGACAACCTAAAGCAGTGACTCCCCAGTCCCCGACCTTGATTTTTTACTGATATAACCCACCTGCTCTGTTTTTCAAAACAACAGCCATCCTTGCATGGGAATACAGGTCATAACCTGTTAGGGATATTTTTTTTTATTCATTCCCTAGCCATGCAAAAGAAGACACATCTTTATTGGATCTCACCCTACCTATGTGGGAGGATGACACAGTGGATGTCAGTATAACTTTTGAGATCATGGAAAATAAAAGCGCAAATTTGCTGGATGTCATTCTATTATTACACAAGATCTTATGTTACCAGAAAAGGAGAACTGTCTAAACGTTTTGGATTTTATGATTTTCTTCATTTCTACATAAAAAGCTTCTAAAATTGATCTACTTGGTTTTGGGTTATTATTTACTTGAACCTAGCTAAATTTTATGATGAGCTCTTTGAAAATCATTGATGTAAATTGTCTTCATTTATTTATTTATTTTGTTTTGTAAATCTAATATTTCATGTATGTCCTTTTGTAGGGACGCTGCTACTGTCATGCTCTCCGGCCAGATAGCTGATGGTTTAGCCACCATATTTGTTGGTGAACTGGTAATTGATGTTGAATCTATGTTTTAATACTTGCTATCTGATAGCCACTGATACACGCTTTACATGCTTGGTTGTGATGTGCAGCATGATTGAAATTAGTACTATAATTGTAATATCAAGAAAGATTTTATTTTTTTATCTCCTTTTTTTCTAATGATTTGTGACAATAACTTTCCCAAATTTTTTGTTCATTTACTTGATAGATAGACAGGTTTGGACATTTCAAAATATGGCATGGTGCAGGATCTGTCTTGGTTGCTGTTTCATTTTCTTCTGTTTTTGGTGGTTGTTTACCTTGTAAAGCCCTTGCCACTTTTTCATCAACAGTAGAGACTATTTCATACAGTACATTTGCTGCAATTTTTAATGTGGGCTGGGCTGCTACTCAGGTTTCACACATGTAATTTTTCTATAGCTTAATTTCTGCCTGTTGAAGTGTGCATGATATCATATTAATTCTTTTAAGCAGGACAATGGGGCAGGGAACATGGTTTTAATGTCAAAGATAGAAAAGCAAAAGCTTTAGTTAAAAGTAGGAGCTCATGGCAAAAGCTTACAGTTTCCAAATATGAATGACTGGATTGGATGAGATGAAGTTTTTTCTTTTTCCCTCTAAATTATTACCAATTTTTTTTAATTTGGATTCTTGGGACGGGATATCATTTATATTTTTCCTTTGATCTTGGTATCCAATTACATTTCCCTGGGTTCTAATGTTTCTATTGCAGGTCCATGGTGAATTGCATCTCTCTCAATTCAACTAGCAGAGTAGTGCTGGCAAGCTGTCGGAATGCCTTTACTATGGTCAACTCCCTTACCTATTGACTTTATGCATGCTTATGAGTATCATGGCTGATGTTAAATTTCCTGTTAATCTAGGTTGCAAATCTCAGCCTATATGGAATTGCTTTAATAGTATTTAATATCAGCATAGCAAAAACTTATGCTGATATTGAAAATCAGGTATGGTCTTTACAGAAGATGTGATCCTGAATTTAGGTGTTTTTGTTTGGGCATAATCATTATTTTGGCCTCTACTGAGCAGTACCGCTGGATTGCATACTTATCAATATTCATAGGATGCTGCTTTGTGGGCATATTTCATCTTGGAACAAATGAACCAAGGTGAGCTGTATCTTTGAACAGAATTCCCCAGCATGATTTGCAGGTTATGCAATTGTAGCTTGTTCCTTATTGCAAGAATTTTATATTCTTATGTAGATCAAAGATAAGTGTACATGGAAATATCTATGCAAGGATTTCATGGACCTATTGGTTCCGCAAAATTCTATATTATCAAGTTGCTCTTGTTTATGTGCTTACAAGACTAGTGCTCAATGTTTCACAAGTAAGCATAAATTTTTTTCTTTGATTTGTGGCTTAATATACTTTTCACTAATCGCCCAAAAGGAATTATTTTAAACTTAAAGATGGTTTCTTTTTTTGAAGGCATATCTTGCATTCTATGTAATTAATGATTTGCTGATGGCCCAGTCTGCTAAAGCTTTGGTATGTGAATAGAACTTGTCATCATAAGATTTATTTCCTGTCTTCGATTTGTTTTGGAGATGAATGCTTGACCTAATATCTTCTGTTATTGATTGGTTAGGTTCCTGCCATTATCTATATTTGCAGCTTCATAGTGTCTGTTCTTCTTCAGGTGTGCCTCATAAAACTTGTTCTGTCTTTGAAAAGCTTCATCTCACTCTTGTGAATCCTTAAGTGTAAAGTATTAACCTTATAGGAGATTGCATGGAATGGCCAACGCCTGAAGGCTTACTATGCAGCTGGAGGAATTCTTTGGATGTTTTGTGGTGTAGGGATTCTTCTCTTACCTAGAAGCATGAGTCTATTCATGTATGCCATATCGGTATTTATTGGAATAGCTAATGCATTAATGACGGTATGTTGGAAACCCTGTGCCTTGCTCTTCATTTACTTCCATGCAATGTAAAATTGGGACATACACCGGTGACAAGTTATAGTCTGACCTAAGCAAAATGCTGTCTGGAATGTTGATTGTCTCAGTTGAGTGTACTCATCTGTTGACAATGCATTGGGGTTAAAATGAAGTGGCATTTGAATCAGAATCTCAGTTTAAAAACCTTCCTTAACCTGCTACCCACTTTCCAGCCATATGTTGGTAGTAGTAATTTTGATTAAGAAAAAGCTGAATTATTCAGGATAGCAAAATACTGTCCTAAAGTTAATGCGTCATGCAGATATATGGTTGTAAGCTCAGTTGGCATTGTATCAGAAGCTTTGATGTGAATCTAGTCACCGTCCGGCCATACATTTGTAGTAGCAATTTCATTGAAAAAAAAGCTGGAGTATTACATTTAAAGTGAGGTCAATGACATTTCTTGTAGATGGATGTTTTGGCCATATGCCAGATTGTTGGTTCTCTGTATAGTTTTCTGGATGTGATGATGAACATATTCATAAATCATAGGCACACTGCCAATATAGGAATACATGGGTTTTACGTATCAGCTTATTAAGATGATTCCTATATCACATCCACCATTTGGTGAGTGATTTTTGTTATGGTATCTGCTTGCATTCAATTAAGGAGACAAAACCTTGTCGTGTAGGTTGGTTGTGTATGATTCAGTTATTCCTTGTGTTTCCTTGGATCCATTAGAGTAAAGACATTTGTTTTGTATTTATATGTTTAAAATTTGATTTATTTATTCCTTTCTTAAATCAATGTAAAATTTTAGTATTTTGATGCAGCGAACTTTATTCATCTTATTTTCCTTTTCTTATGGTCTTTTAGTATTTTTTTCTTTCCTGTTGCTTATTCCAATTGCAAATGAATGTAGGTAACTGCAGTCAGCATGCAGAGTGTTGTAATTGGTGAAGATCTTAATGGTTGTGCTTTTGTTTGTGGATCATTGAGCTTCCTGGACAAAATCTCATGTGGGCTTGCCCTATTTGTTCTTCAATCCTATCAAAGTAAGTTTTCTGTCATATTTGAATACATGTTCGACCTGTCTTAATTCCACTTTTCCTCCCTCTCCATCTGTACCTAAAGAACAATGAAAAGAAGAGGAACTTGACATGCTTCTTTATACCTGTTTCTTGGTTCGGAATCGAAGGTGATATCCAAGAATCTTCATTAATGTGTGTGAATGGTATAATCTTCTTTGATGCAGGTAGCTCACCTATAATTGTGGGAAACTATTCAACGAACTTTAATTTTTCAGTTACAAGATATGGTTTAGGTCTCGTACCAGCAGTCTGTTCAGCTCTTGCAGTGGCAGTCACGTTCACCATGGAACTACAAACCCCATTGTCAAAGCCGCTGTTGGAACCCTTGTTGGAATGATGTTGGGAAAGAAAGAACCACCATGTTCAAACAGACAAGGATTCTATGATGTATACTTCTCTATTTACATCATGTAATTGTACATAAGCTATCTGTTTACAAAATATATTTGTTGGATAATGATAAGCTATCTATTTCATTCACATTAAAAATCGTGGCAGGTATGATTGTTCTCATTTCTCCCTGACATTCATAATGCTAGCAGTAACATTCAGATGGCCAGGAAAAATGCTAGGAGATGGTTCCTTGTGGGAGAAATTCAGCCAGTTTCTCAATTGAAGCGACAGCAATCTTTTTGGTGCTTTTGTTCCTTTGCAGTACTTCATATGCCTGTGCATCCTCTCTGGCTTGAACAATTTCCCGCATTGCCTACATTACATCGGGGAAGATTCGATTAGTGTTTGATGGCAGCAACTGAAAGCTCTATTCAAAACCAGGCAAGGGAAGTGGATAATAAGGTTCGGTTGTAGATCATAATTACTGGCATCCCATGAATTCTTCTAATTTAGGATAGTATTCCTGCTTGAAAACGTGCCTACAAACTTGCAACATAGATTTCAATGAGAATAAATCCAATCTAAAAAACATTTTAGATTTGTCTATTAGGTATGGTTAGGTGTCATGAACTCACATTTTTAATCTAAAAATTGTATCTATTAAATAAAAAAAATTCTTACTTACAAGTTTGAGACTTATTTAATTTTTTAACTGACATACGATTTTTTATTTTAAGATATAATCTCACGTCAACAAAGAGTTGAAATGATTTTGATATTGCTCATTAGAGAGCATCATATTGAACTTATAAAACATATGTAATAGATAGAGGAAGACTAGTTGTTAAAGTTTGAGACCATCCTAACTCTTATCTCTTATTGACTGGAACCTGTCACACAGGCAGCAAACTGTCTTATCATCTTGTCATGATTGCTGATTGCACTTTGTTTGTGAGTTCACTCTATAAGCAAAGTAAGAGTGCAAAACTAATTCAAGTAGTTTATCAATCAAAATAGGAGTATAAAGTGGGGGAATAAACTAATGGGAAACATAGAAGACCTTTACAAATCTCATTTTCACTTGGCATTTTGTTAAACTTTTAAATCAGTTTGTTGTCGGCACCCTGCAGTGGTTGCTTTTCCTTTCTGCATTTTAGTTTCTTAAGCGGTTGAGTTTGGTCTGCTCTCGTAGCAATCTCCTCCATTTTTGCAGTCAGCAATATATCTAAATATATAGATCGGATATAAGGGCACTTACGAGCAAGTTGGCCCTCCCACTGGCTTGTATGCAGCCGAGACCACTTTCGAGCAACCAAATTCAGCCCCCTGCTTCTTCTTGCAATTCTTGGCCTCGTCAAAGCTTTTCCTGCTACATCGAAGCATACCATATCAGTACCCTTCATACATAATATTTGTGTAAAATGTAACATGATTGGGGAGTAACGACATACGAAGCCATGCACTGTTGTTGCTCATTCCATGGAGTTCCAAAAACCCTGGCAGACCCACCCAATGTGTCTCCTTTAATTATCTTAACGCTTTTACCACAGGAATAGTCGAAATGGGTAGGCTTGATTTTTCCCACTCGATTAAGCATGATTAGCGCAGCATCGTCGGTGTCAACGGCACCACAGCTCAGCAAATTCCGAAGCTTCTGACGTGCTCCCCTCGAATAGCCCTTGCCCGTTGCATAGGATAGTGTCGGTGAAAATGGCGGCGATGAAAATGACGAACAACTTGGAATATCCATTACTTTGTCCACGTTATTGTTGTTGCATTTGTCTTTTGTCTTTGCCCCTCTCTTGTTCTTCTGATTCTGCATGGCGGAGTAAAAGGAGGATGGATCTTCATCTTTGCCGCCCTGCTGCGTCTGGTGAGACTTATCGTCAAGCTTCGTCTCTAAGTCTAAGGCAAATTGAGGTGATTCTTGGTAGATTTCGGGCAAAAAATAACTAGAGTTCTCTTGTATTGCTTCCTTAGGTAACGGCTTGTCCCGGGGGTCCTTTTCTTCAATCTCAACGGCCCTCTTTTCACCCTGTGAAGTAGCCTCTACCGTGCCAAGAAAACGTATAATTAGCCCCAAATATACAACTGTTAAGGACAATCTCAAACATTGAAATGGAAATGAATAGGGTAATAACCAAATGGGGTAGAGGGCATGATCTCGGAGCCTTTAAGGACATATTCGTTGTCCGAGATTGGGGTGATTAGTTCATCATCCATCAAGTCTTGCCAAACATAACCGGTCTTGTACCTCCTGCAATTAAATTTGGCCAAAATGGAAATGTAATGGCCCCATTAGAAATGGCAGATTCAAACTTCATTGCACAATCATTGTTGTGGTAATATAGTTATTCGTGAATAGTGGCATAGATTTATAGATGTAGGGATCAGGTAGGGATATAAAAATACCTCTTGTAGGACCAAGAAAAAGATTCCGGCATGCCTTTTCCTCTCAAATCTGATAGCCACCTCTTCACATCTTTTTCAATGGATCAATCAAAACACACTAATTAAGGAATGGTTTGACATATACCAAAAAGAGAAATGAAACAGTGAATCAGAGCAAAGATGTCGGACCTCTTAGATAAACGCCCTTTTCATTGACATGGTGAACACGAATGAGATGGGGGTGCTCGGTGCGACCCATACGGTTGAGGAAGTATATGATGTGAAGTCTCCTCAGTTGGCCTCCTCCGCCTTTACCCGCAGCTTCCATTGCTATTCTGCTCCCTCCTGTCCTAGTGGTTCCTGTCACCAAGGTTGAAGAATAACAGCCAAAAACAAAACTCTCAATATGCTATTATGAAGATTCTTATATACAAAAAGCATCACTAAAAGTCGAGAGAGATGTGCTGCCGGCCTGCTTCTCTAGAAGTCGAGAACGAAATCATCATCATCATCATCATATATTCTATTCCCAAATCGTCATGCTTGATATTTTAAAGTGCAATGTGTATGCAGGCCTACCTATAGACGCCAAAACATAGAAGAATCCTGTATAAAATAGAACATGGAATAAGTGATCCAGGAAGAGAAAAGAAGCCTTGGCATTGGAGCCGCTACCAAAGCGCTTGGGTGGGTTTGGAAGATGAGGATGCTCACCAGATTTAGGGCTATATACATCGGAATCTATAACAGATTACTCGCAATTATAATGGGGGTTAGTTCAGACCAATTAAACGACACTGATCATTGTACTTAGTCCATAACCCAATTCTGGTGCATTTTGACATTCCACTTTGGTGGCATCCTCCTTTGTATTGTATGAACACTTTTGTTTTGCACGCCAAACACACTATTTTATATTAGGATTACACAAGTTTTATAGTATAAGTTTGATTTACATTCGATAGTGTAACGGGTTTGCAATTTCAATTTAAAAATATGTCTATTGAGTAGAAAAAGATTTTTATTTATACGGTTATAACCGTTTTTATTGTATAAGCTTAAAATCTATTCCATCTCTTATTGATATAAGATTTATAATATTTTATTTCACATAATTGTGTTGATATAAAGAGTTGAGTAGGTTTTAATATGACTTATAACGATTCACAATTTCAACTGAAAAAATATGTTTATTCGATGAAAGAAGATCATTACTTATAAGTCCAAAAACCTTCTTATTTCTTATTAATGTAGGATCCGTAATAGTAGCAACGACTTTCTATGAGCATTTAATCAATCAATTGCAACTAAAACAAAATGGTGTACTTGAGATCTACATCCTCATACAAAAAGATTTATGAGAAGACAATACCAAAATTTGAAAAAAAATACAATTTTTTTTTGTCAAAATTCTCATGTCATCTTTAAAACTTTAGTTAATTTAATCTATTAGAACATATAAAATTCTCTTCTTCTTCTTTATAAAAAGGAACTTATAATCACTCATAGGGGTAATTATTTAATCATTTAATGCTTGGAGCAAACCTTTTGCACGAGGATGGTATAAGGTTTGAGAAATTGAAGAGTTTAAATTATATGACAATCTAAAAATGGATGATACATGATTTTTTTTCCTTCTTTCTAAAATTAATTATTAATATTTAACTAGGAAAAATACTATTATTCTTTTAAATAAAGCCACCCAACAAAATTTTAAATTGAATATTCTATTAAGTTGGAGGGATGGAAATGTTAATGTGACAATCATATTAGCATCCTTGTCGACTTATTATGTCACACTAATAGACCATATATTTTTATTTTCTATAAAAACAAATACTGTTCAAATTTACCTCATTCTACATCTCAACTCTATTCAACCCAAATTAAACAAGAGAGTTCACAAAAGCCTAAACTTCTCAAAAGGTATGCTTAAAGACTATATATCTCCAATAACTTTCCACATGTAGTCAATTTCACATTACAAGGTCCAAAACAAAATCTAGGATCTCCTTTCCGAAAAAGTCGAAATTGAACCCATTTGAGCTTGGTATGCAAAAAATTGTATTATGTTGAAAAAATAAAACATAACACAATAATGTAAAATAATATAATATAAAACAAATGAATTCACCTGGGGTCAAGTTTAGAAAAAGCAACTCGTCAACATATATGTATGTATTCCTAATGTTAAAGGTGGACAAAGAATCGCATAATGGACTGCATACTAGGTAGCTCTTTAAAAATTTGAAAGCTAGCATATTTTGGAATCAAATTGTTTTAATAGTCTTGTATTGCTTGCAGAGACACTATGATAGCATCCACATTTTCGTTTCTTATGGTGTTGGCTTATTTTATGGATGAAACAAAGTTCAATTAATTGTTACCATCGCCTTCGTTTTGAAGGAAATTGAATTCCATTAAGAGATTAGAACTAAAAACACTCAAAAGAAGTAATAAAACGTCAAGTGATTCTTTGAATGATCTGGCTTTTGATTTTATATTAAGACATGACTCACATTCATTTCATCTGCTAGTTTGAGTTGATACAAAACCAGACAGCAAAGAGGCGTTCAACAAATTAGAGTGTAGTATCAATTGACGGACAATAAAAGAAGATTTTCGATATAAAATTATGTAGAGATTCCAGACTTGGATGCAGCTGAAAGGATTCATCGACCAAGACAAATATACGGACGAAGTGTGATGGAAACAAGTAAAATCAATTAGTTAAGCCCCTTGGATCTCTTGGGCAGTTGCCTATAAATATGGTAACCAGATGTGAGATGAATCTCCACTAGTTCCAGTGTGTTAAGTCGTTTATTAATCGAAGTAGCAAAGGTAAGGTGAAAGGTTAATTAAGCAGATATGGACATCGATTTTTTGATGCCATACTTGGTCCACTTGGTAGTTTTATACGTGTCTGTTGGTGTCATCTACTTGGTTTACAAGTACAAATCCAGGGCCGTCACCCCCAACGTTCCTCCGGGTAGAAAGGGTCTCCCATACCTCGGCGAAACCTTGGATTATGTGCTGGCTTCGAGAAGGGGAACTCCTGAGAAATTCGTAACTGACAGAACTACCAAATATTCACCAGATGTGTTCCGTACATCATTGCTAGGAGAGGACATGGCTATCTTTTGCGGTGCTGCTGGCAACAAGTTCCTCTTCTCTGGCCAAAACAAGTATGTCACCTCCTGGTGGCCGCATTCCATCAAGAAAGCTTTGATGGATCCATCCAGTGTTGATAATTCTTCCAAGGAAGAATCCACTAAACTTCGGGCCTATCTGCCTCCTTTCCTCAAGCCAGAGTCCCTTCAACATTACATACCCGTCATGGATATCATGGCAAAGGAGCATCTAGACCAACATTGGTCCCGCTATAATCAAGTCCAAGTCTTCCCACTTTCCAAGAAGTACACCTTCTCACTCGCCTGTCGTCTATTCATGAGTGTTCACGATCCGGAAGAGATTGAAAAATTTGCCAAGCCTTTTGCTCTTGCCACTGCTGGTCTCATATCCGTGCCCATTGATCTTCCAGGAACAACGTTCAATCGCGCCGTGAAAGCAGGCAAAGTGATTCGCCAAGAGCTTTTAGCCCTCATTACCAAGAAGAAAAACCAGCTGTTGGAGAAAGGACTAACTGTTGCTTCAGACTTAGTGGATAGCATGCTTATGGACGGTATGACTGAGATAGAGATTGGCAACAAGATTGTAGGCTTCTTTATTGCAAGCCACGACACAACAAGTACTGCAATTACCTTCATCGTTAGCTATCTGACTGACTATCCAGACATATATAACAGGGTGTTGGAAGGTATGTAAAGTAGTCAGTTATTAATTTGGATTTTAGCACCAGGTGGCTCGACAGGCTCGTCGACTCCTACCAATATATATTTTAAATTTCTATTCGGGGAATTAGTTAATGCTTCTTCTTTTTTCTCTATAATTAATGTTTCATCTTGTTGGGTTAATTGCAGAACAAATGGATATTTTAAGGTCCAAAGGGCCTGGAGAACCATTGAGATGGAAAGATATTCAGAAGATGAAGTACACTTGGTGCGTGGCATGCGAAGCAATGAGGCTGGCTCCACCTGCTAATGGAGCTTTTAGAGAAGCCATCACCGATTTTACTTATGCAGGTTATACGATTCCAAAGGGATGGAAGGTAAAACCTCTATGTTTCCATTAGAAAAATCATCATGTCATTCTCATGATTTTGTAATTCTAAAGAATCGATCCTTTCCATCTCGCTATCTACTGATCAATACTTACCCATACCCTTATTTGTTCTCTTAATTGCTTCAGGCCTTCTGGACCGTCCATTCAACAAACAAGAATCCCAACTACTTCCCAGATCCAGAGAAGTTTGATCCCTCTAGGTTTGAAGGAAATGGTCCTGCACCCTACACATTTGTTCCATTTGGTGGAGGTCCTCGTATGTGCCCTGGGAAGGAGTATGCCCGACTGGAAATCCTCACTTTCATACACAACCTGGTCACCAGATTCAAATGGGAGAAACTGAATCCCAATGAGAAGATTTCCTACATTCCTTCACCCATTCCAGAGGAGGGTCTACCCATCAAGCTCCAAGCCGCATGAGCATCAAGGCCAACGCATTAAATAGAATAAATTAATCTTTGGTGTCTCCCACCATTTTCTTTAAGCAGGCAATTTACATAACTATGCAAGGAACAATAAGTTTTTAAAATAAGTTGAACTATCATCTTATTTCAGTCGTTCCTTAATTGATATATTCATTAGTCTAATCCTTGTGGCCCAAGCTTAGATTTGCAAAAGGCTTCCGACGGCCATACATAGCAACATGTTTTCCCCATTGACGAGTTGTTAAAATTTTATTATATAGCAACACCATTTCCTTATTTCAATTTTATTCATCCTCACTATTAGTGTGCAAAACAGTTAGAGGTTATAATCCTTGAGAATATAATGAACACTACAAAATTTGTGACATTCTGTTGTTAAAGGGGAAAAATCTGTTGGAATTACCCTAGTTGATAAAGACCATTTCGTTGCAAAGAGGGAATTCGTTCGGTAATTCTTTGATGGAACATTCTGTTGGGAAAGAGTGAATCTCTCTGTATTTCAACTAGTTAGTAAGTGAATAAATCCATCACCACATTCCGTCGGTAATATTCGACAAAATTGTTGATGAATTTTTCGTCAGTATTATCATGATTTCGTTGGTAAAAATGATCCATAATCTGTAGGTATTGTTAAAATTTGTTGATAATTCCATCAATATTTTAATGAGACACAAGCCTTACCATCATTTCAATGAAAAACACAAATACTGATAAATATTAGTATAAAAATTATGTATAATTTATTAAAATTAGAAAAAATAACACAAAAACATATATGTTTCTAGAACCATCATCCCTCAATTGCTGCTCCTCAATGTTAGAAGGGACTGGCTATTATGATGAAGACCTAAGTTTGTTTTACGGCTTCATGTAGTGGAGGATCTATGCAAAGGTCAAGTCAAAGTTTATAATGCAATTATTCATAATGTCCGTATTTTCATCTAGTTTGCTATAGCACTTAGGAAGGGCGACAACATTACTTATTAGAGTCGGACCACAAGCAG